CGTGAAATTTTTTAGCCTGTTGGTATCTGCCGCCACGGACAAAACTGTAAGAGTATGGGACATGGAAACAGGAGCGTGTCGACGGAAATTCAAATCACATGTTGACATTGTAAATGCCTGCCATCCATCTCGACGAGGGCCACAACTGATCTGCTCAGCTGGTGATGACGGCTTTAGTGAAAGTAAGATTATATATTTCTTGATTTTTTTACTCTCACAAAACCATTGAATGCGGGATCAGTGAAATCGTTGAGGTTTTTTTGAGTATGTCTATTACCTGATATGTTGCTCCTGAAAGTTTAAACACACATAACGAGAATGTTATCACAAGAATGCTGAGTTGTGGGCAAAAGTCGTGCCCCAGGCGGGAGTCGAACCCGCACCTCACGCTTTCCGGGCGAGTGCGCTATCCGTTACGCCACCAGGGCCGCTTTTACCCTCTCAGCTTAACGGCTTTTATGCTTTCACCAAATAACGTCAGTGATGCTTGAAGTAGCGCTACGGCATAAAGCCGTTAAGCTGAGAGGGTAAAAGCGGCCCTGGTGGCGTAACGGATAGCGCACTCGCCCGGAAAGCGTGAGGTGCGGGTTCGACTCCCGCCTGGGGCACGACTTTTGCCCACAACTCAGCCATTTCCTTGTTACTTAACATTTCGCGAAACGCCGCTTACTGTCGGCGCTTAAACATCAGTCTATGTAATAATAATAAGTGTATGTTATGGGACGCAAAAGAATTGTGATCGATATAACCAGTCATTATACTCCTTTTGGCTCTCTCCTTTTCTGGCTCGTGAGAATGTAACATTTTTTTCTTCAAACTGCGACACTTTATCGATGGAATTGGGGGCTTTTTTTCAAAAACAACCTGGACGTCTTTAGTTCTGATTGGCACAACTTGCTTATTTTTCAAAACAAACTGCTGGAGTGTGCCTGCAAATAGTCGTGCAGCTTGACTAGTTTATCTGTAAAGTACTCAGCTTGATCTGAAAATCGTTACAGTGTGTAGAACTGTAAACGCCATAACCGAATTCGAAAGCATTCCTATTTGCTTCAATGACCTATTTGTTCGAAAAATGTTCAGTTGAAAGCGGATTTGATGTGTAAAGTGCATTTCAACTACTATCAAAGAAAGTGAAAGTTGATTTTTAAAACATTTGTCTACAATTCTAGGCACTTCCTGTTTTGATATTTATGTGTTTCCATCTTTTTATTTCTTCTTTTTCCTCAAGAAAATGACTTTTTGTGTAAGCTGGTACGACAGTGCATGCCCCAACGACCCGATTTCTAACTTACAGGTTCATGACGTTCGACAGAAAAACGCTGTGAAGACATATGAAAACAGATTCCAACAATTGGCTGTAACATTCAATGACACAACGGATGAAATTTTCGTCGGTAGCATCGATAGTGATATTTATGTGAGTTTTGTTTTGATTTTGCCTTCCCTATATTTTTTATTAAGTTTTATCTTGAAGTTGATTGTCTTACCATTGTAGATTATATAATTTCCAATTTCCAGTGTTGGGATATGAGACGTGATGATATTTCCTATGTTATGCACGGTCACAAAGATATCATTACTGGTTTAGCACTCAGTCCAGATGGAAAGTTTCTACTGTCTAACAGTATGGATTGTTCGGGTAGGTACCTTACATCTTGGGAATTTTAGTGAATGGCTCTAAAGCCCTGGCAATCTCAAAACGTTCCTTAGGGCACCTTTGTGAATGCTCAGAGGTGATCTTCCGTTGATGTTTAGCTTTGGCTTGAGGGTAAATTCCGCGATTGCCTGAGAGGTAAAAATCCCTCTAATCTATACGTTGAGCATATCTGCTGCTGTGCATCACTCAGCCACTGAAAGTACATGGCAGAGTGCGATCGTACTTTGGCGTCTTGAACAACCAGGAAAGTACAGGTATCGATCCGGCGTTGTAAGCGTACGCGGATATGTTCTGGCGTATGCTCAAAACGTTAGATCGATACCTATACTTTCGTAGCGTCTGAAAACGCTGGTGTACGAGCGCCAGGGGCTCTCAAGAATGAGTTCGTACCCCGCCTCAGCGAACCCTAGACGCACTTCTTCGTCTGCCTCCACCCATACTGAATAGATATCCAGTTTCACTGCTTTTGTGGCGGTGTTGCTTTGACCGCTATCGGCTCTCGCCTTCACGAATTGCATCGCTGCGTTTCAGTTCACCGCTTAACCGTCAATGCTGAAAACGAACCACACTTCCTTCAGTCGGGTCACTTCAGGCAGATTTTGTGCTACCTTTTTCAGTAGTACGTCTGTCAGCATCAAAAAAACCATGTTTGAGCACCATTATTCACAAGTTACGGTCGTGCAATGTGTCTTTAAGAATGCTCCCTGTTGAGTGGCATGCTGGCTGCAAAAGGGTTTAGCTGATAAAAACAGGACAGAAACTTATCGAGATTTTTAGTCCTTTAGTTTTATAGAGCAGCATAGTGTTTTTTCGGCCTTTGCATTTGTTTGTTATATTTCGCAGTCAGCCTTATTCTACTTTTTTGTATTCTTAGGCAAAAATGTGGGACGTGAGGCCATTTGCGCCTCAGGAGCGCTGTTTGAAATCGTTTTATGGTCATCAGCACAATTTCGAAAAGGTTATATATTTTGTTTTATTCTTATTTGTGATGCCTTGCTTAATTATTTACCATTTAGAATTTACTGAAATGTGGATGGTCTGGTGATGGTAAACGAGTGACAGCCGGATCAAGTGATCGATTCGCATACGTATGGGATGCGGCATCTCGTTACATTCTCTACAAACTGCCTGGGCATTTAGGATCCGTTAATGCCACCGATTTGCATCCGACTGAGCCCATTTGTAAGTTCTCTGTTTCATGTTTGCTTGGATGTGGTTCAGCAGATCGCAGGATTACGAGATCGCGTGCCAAGTGGTATTCCTATCTAGTTGACTTGGGCCAGCACTTTGGCGTCAAATCCATAAGGTCATGGCAGCCTACGTCTCACGGGTAAATTTCAGGGTCTCATCCTAGCATTTGATAGACTGCTTCCTTCATTCCAAGTTTCGGGTATCACTGAAGCGAAAATCTC